TCAGGATAAGGACACCATTCTGAAAATATGTCTTTGCATCTCTTGCCAGCACCTATTCACCTGAGAAAACCCACAACAATTTTCATGCAGAGATTTATAATAACTTGGAGAGGAAAACATCATTCTCAATGCCACAGTACCACAAGTCCTGAGCTTCTCATCTTATTGTTAGACACAACTGCCTTCTTTCTCCTCCTCCTCATTTTAACAGAACCAACAGTATTTAATTTAATCCACCCAGAAAAAATGACAGAGTCAGCAGCTGATATACAGCTAGTGCTGGTTAGAACTTTGAATTACTGTTTTGTGAAGAATGTCAACATTTTGACATTTGTTGCTATTCTCAGGGTAGAAAGGAACTGCATATTCGTCTGGAAATTTTGAAATGTCACACTGAACTCGCAGATTCAACTCTGAATTTCAGAATTTCACATTCTATTTCATTTTACATTGGCTTTCAGTCTTTTTTAATTCATTAAATGCCAAATTAGAATATTTTAAATCACCCTTTTTAATTTTACTTTGGTTTGCTTTATTTGAGTATATTAAAACTATGGGAAGCCACTGTCCTGCACTGACAGAAAACAAACTTCAATCATCATTTTTCACTGTCTCCAAACTCCATCCATTGAAAACTTTTGATACGTGACTTTTGTGAAGACACTTAGGTGAAAGCATAAAATTTTGGGTGAGAAGACACTTTGGGGGAGGCAAGCAATGCAAAGCAAGCTGCCTGCCTTTCTCCACAAGTCAAAAGCAACACTAGGAAGGAATATATCCCTGTGACAGCAGGAGGGAATCTGGCAGACTGCTTTTATTCATCTGCAGAGAAGGAAAAGTTTCTCGTCGCTAAATTAACAGCAAACAGCAAGAGAATTAGTTTCAGCGGAAATGCAAGTGCTGGAGGTATCTCCTTTCAGTGAGAGATGGCAGACTGTAAAAATTATTAAACCAGTGCGAGAGAAGTGCATCAGTCATAGCAAAGGGCACTGGTGAGCAGCTGTTTCTGAGGCAAAGATGAAACTTCCAAGCGAATGTCTCCATCACAGGTATTAAATCAGTGGAAAAACTGACAAAAACTGTGTAAAACGAGAAAACAGCGAGCCATCACAGTCCCTTTTGGGCACTGCAAGCTGCAAGAGACCATGTCAGGGCTGGCTGCAGCAGGCAGCAAAGAAATCACCTCCAGTAGTGCGGAAACCACGCGGTGGCTGAGGTCTGCTAGTCATGAGCAGCCACCACCACCTAAGCCACAAGCATGAGCTGCCTCATTAAATCCTCTTGGATTACAGTTGTCTCCCCATTTTCATGGTGCTCACCTGGAAAGATGTGCAAAACTGAAGGGCTGTCTGAAGAGGAGGCCATGCTCCATGTGCACTGATGCCTGTACAGGTGTGAATGGGGATACTGCAACCCGTGGCTGAGCAGGTTAAGGAACTTAGGCAATTGTGCCATGTCAGGGAGAACAGACACAGCTACCAAAGGGACACTGCTCCTTTTCTCCTCCCAGCAAATCTGCAGCAAAGAAACGTGGATTTGCATGCTGTACTAAATCGGAGCTACAAGACACTTCTGTCCTCACAAAATTGTTAAATTGCTCTCAAGAGATAAATGTTTTTGTTAATATTTCCACCATTTTGGACCAGAGCCACAAAGCTGTCTCAAATGGCTTCAGTGGTACCTAGTCTAGATGTTGAAAACATGAAAGGTCCCTTTAGGAAGGAATGTGCTTCCCAAAGCCTATTTAGGAGAATAGCTGGGATCTAGAAAGAACAGATCTCCCAGAGCCACCCCTCAAATACACCAGGAGATACATGAGGACCCTAAAAGATCCACAGATCTAGTTGAGACATATGATAGTGTCTCAAAAATGCTCAAACATTACCAAAACCGGTGAAATGACCTTAAAATATTTGGAGATATGAGAACTAACAAGGGTTTTCAGTGTCTTAACCAGTCCAGCACAGAAACATTTGGTGATAGATGAGCTGGTCGGTGGTGGGAGTTTACCAGTCCTGCTTTGGCCACAGGGCAAAGTCCTGGAAATACTCCACATCAGAAACTGGTTTTGTCATATGTCTACTGTGGACATGTTGGTGCCAGAAATGAGTGTACCTAATGAGCCACCCTGGCCTTGTGCCCTCTGCTCTTTGGGAGGGGAGAAGTTAAGAGAGAGTTAAGACATTTTGACTTGGTCTGAGCAGGCACAGCAAGAGCATGAGAGGAGCCAAATGGTCTCATGAGAACTCTGCTGCTGTTCCTACAGAAGTCCCCATCACCCACCATCCAGAAGAGAAAGCTCCTGAGCTTTTCTGGCTGCTGAAGCACACGAAGGTTGAAATGAGGACATGCACTCCACCAGATCATTTCCTAACTAGGACTTGGGCACTAATGCTGGACAGGGTGCTGCATTAAAGACTAAAATGCCCAGAGGCTTCACATGCATGGCTCTCACCCCATAAGTGGCCCAAGGACAGAATGCAATGTGGAATTGTGTGTGAGTAAAACTCATTGTTTTCAGGAGGCTTTAAGAACTAGTACAGATTATTTGCTGTTCCCATACCAATCCAGATTTATTTTGGATCAGCAGTGACTTCAACATGATTAGTACACAGCAAAAAACACAGAGCCACAGTGTCATGAACCTCTTCCTAGCCAGAATGCCAAATATAAACCTTTTTTTTTTACCCTTTAAAAACATGAAACAAATTTAATGAGAAATTTTGCCCTCACAGCGATGGATCACGGTATATGTTGGAATTAAGGACCATGAACTTTTAATCTGAGATGGATTTGCTACAACATCCTTAATAATTTGCACACAAACTATGTCCAAGATTAGACATGCAGTTTTCTGAATACATTTAGAAATTGTTTGATATTTTAAAACCATTCCCTTGCAAGAAGAAAAATTCCTAAAGGTCATCTTACATTTTATGCGATATGTATTAATGCTTCTTGCTCTTTCTGTTTCTTTAACTGAAAGGTCTTAAATCAGCCTTGAAAAGGCAAAACACAAACAAATGCAGAATCATGTGTGCGTGCTGGAAAAGATGTTAAAATTTACATGATAGCCAAATCAAATTACAGTAACAATTCTTCCTAACAGATACCTGACTCTAACACAGCCTTTTTTTTCCCCTTTTAAATAAAATAATTCCCAAAGTCGATTTTATGAATGAGTTATTCTGCAAAGGAAGAGAACACCACGTGGTAAGGCTGGACAACAGTGCTTTAAAGGCAAAGCTTGCCACCAATATGTTACAGAGGATTTGTAAGCTCAAAAGTGAAATAGGTAAGAAAACAGCTATTTAGCAGGCTGGAAGAGAAAGAAAGTTTCTGCAGGGGTTTATCATCGAGCAGATGATAGTCTGTTCTGCAGAAGAACTGAAATTATTTTTTACAGAGATACTTATGAAGTATTTCTGCCTGTGTATTTGCAAATGCCACGTGCACACACACCAACATGTATATACAAATATATATAGGCATACATGAAACCCCCAACTTGAGCTAAATTAAATTGTCCCTCCAGCTTTGTAATGCAAATGAGACTAACAGGCTTGTGCTGTTTGTGGTTTGAGATGATTTGCGTTTCCATAGAGATGCTGACTGAACCACAGTTCTTAAATTTTTTATATATATAAGCCTACTTGTATCTATAAAAGTCTAAATATGGATCTGCAATACCTCAGCATTTCCTCAGTGACTCCACTGGAACCACAACCATTTACACCAGTTAAAGCTATGTGCAAATTTTGTGTCTTTCACTACTTTTCAATCTAAGCTCTATACCAAGTACCTGCAGAGCTGAGAGTTTATTGCTTCTCTCCCTGCCTCAAAAGTTCTTGTCAAGGAAGGGGAAGAAAAGAGAAAAAGCCGTTTCTTAGCTGCTTGTAGATAACATTCCAAGGACATCCGTAATTTCTTGCCCTCTCTAAACTGTCTTGAGAAACATCTTTGCCTTTTAAAGTTCCCACTGTCAGGAAACCTGGAATTCAGGAACGACCACCTGTGTGCTGTTAGAGAAGAAAATGACAAAGGGACATGCTTTCTGTTATGTATCAGAAGCTTTTTACCCTTTCCCTGTGAGCACCCCCAAACTCAAGAGCATGGATGTGCTCAGACGTGCCAAGGTGGGCCTGGGCAGCAACTGCATCACTGCCTCCCTACCTCACCATTTGTGGAACCTCAGCTCATCATATACAATGAGGGCCCCACAAAGCTAAAACACCTCCTAGAGCCACATTACAGATGGCCACCAGCAGAAGGGACAAAAGCCAAGCAGGATCAGCCTGGGCAGAGAAACCAGGTAGACCCACTTTAACTTTCTATTTCAAACTGACTTCACTTTATGAGGTCCAGGCACTTGTTGAAGTGGATGGCAGCCACCCAGTGTACCAACATCAGAGAGGAAAACCAGAGCCGAGCTCTGTGGGGACTCATTTCCATGTGGTTTCAGTGATAAGTGATCTTTGAACAGCGACACACCAGAGGACAACCTCCGCAATCACTGTGAACCACAATCAAAACCAGCCTCTCGTGTACCTCCCATCTGCCTGAGGACAGGGAGGATTAATTGCTGAACCAGGGATGTCCACAAGTACATGAAACAGCACACATCCATCCTCTCACTTCATCTTGGGAGTGCCCAGAAGAAAAGCTTCCAGCTGAGCGATGCCTTACAGAGGCATGGCCAGGGAGCTCCTTGGGCAACAGCATGCCACAGGGACAAAGCCTCCCTCCCTCCCATGGGTTGGCACACATGTGACACCATCTCACTACTTGAGGCTGACAGTTTTTCTAAGCCCCTGCAGAGGCTCTTTTCAAAACAGATGAGAGCTCCATATTTCCAGCTTTAAAGAAGCCATATGTAGGGAGACCACCCTCACACCTCTGATAGCAACACCTTAACCCCCACCACCTTTCAGGGAGTGTCCCAGGCCACGTTCAGCCATGTGGCTCTCCCAAGAATGTCCGTGACCACTGGCATCTCTCACCTTCTGCTGCAGGGCGGGCGGCTGCGGGGCCAGCACTGGGTCAGTGATGTAGGTCTTCTTCGTGCCCGGTGGCTGGTAGAGCGCAGGGGGAGCCTGGCCCATGGCATTACTCGCAGGATACGCCGGCTCGGCCTTCCAGGAGCTCTGCGGCACGTAGGGCGCCTCGGAGCCGTTCCTGCCGCCGTAGCCCCCGTAGTAGGGCTCCTGGTAGCGGCCCTGTGGGGGCGCGTACCCGTAGGCAGGCTCAGCAGGCCGGCTGGGCGGAGGGCCATAGCCGTAGCCGGGCCCCTGGGGCTGCGGCGCTCCGTACTGAGGGGCAGCGGGCTGGCGGGACGGCACGGTGGCGTAGGCCTGGCCGGGCCCCAGGCTGCCGTAGTGGCCGGGCTGCGGGCAGGGCGGCTGGTAGTGAGGGCTGGGCTGCGCCGTCCTCACCTGCACGTTGAAGGCCGGGCGGCTCGGCGTGGAGGCCGTGGCGTAGGAGGCCGGCACTGGCTGCGGCTTCAGGGTGCCAACGGGAGTGACCGGGATGGGCGCTGGCTGCCCCGGGCCCTTGGCAGTGGACTTCTTGGTGGCGGTGAGGGGAGGCTGGTTGGGGATGATCATCCGCTTGTGGCCAGTGACAGGAGTGGACATGGACGGGGTGGTGGCAGCAGAGCTGCTTGAGGTCCCAGAGCCCTGGAGAGCAAGGAAAGAGACACAGGGTCAGCAGGAGAGGCCACTTGGGCACTGGGTTGAGCAACAAGGGTGGAAATGGGGGTTTACAGAAACATCTCAACTCAAACTGCTTAGGAAAGCAAGAATAACCTAGGGCCACACGTTTTGGAATGGTTATATCAACCTTCCCCTGCTCTGACAGAACAGGGACGGCATTGCAGCAGCAGAGCAGAAGTGCCGTGCATGGCATTTCATCTCTCCTTGGAGGCTTCTCCTCCGCCTCCAAGCAAACAAACAAATTAAAAAATGATACACGCAAAAAAAAAAAAGGGAGACTCGCCAGAGGATAATTAGGGAAAACCCCATGCATTCCTGTGAAAATGAGTCTGTTTTGAAAAAGAGAGAAAATGACATTATACTCTCTATGGAGACATGAAATTCCTTGGGTCCCTAGAGCACTTGTAGGGTTCTGCCCCAATACAGGAGCTCCTTGTGCAGGAGGCAGCAGATTGGGATAGCCTGCAAGCAGGTCCCAGGCTGTAAGAATGAACTCCGATCAAAGCAAGTCACTGAGGTGTCCCTACCCTGGCTGTACTGGTTAAACACCTGGAGTGACCCCAGAAAAGTTAAATGCTACACATGCATCATTGAAGGGCAGAAAGTGGGTCAGGATTTCCAAGAGCCTCAGAAGTCAGCTCCTACCATGGCAGCCATGTAACCCTGCACCAATGCCCCAGGCACAGCAGTGCTTGGGCAGTCAGGGAAGAGGATCAGCAAATGCTGCTGCTTCCTGCAATTTGGCCACAGAATGAAGCTTTGTTGCAGTGATGCTGTCTAACAGGCATCATACATACTTCAGTCTAGTGTACTTGTTTGTCTGGCTTACCTCACATTTAAATGTTCAAAAACACCAGTGTGAAAAGACATCTTGGTTAAAGAGCTAACACTGTGAAAACTTCTGAAGAATGCTGACCAACACTCTTTATGTCTTTTCACTCTATCAGAGAAGAGTAAACTTGAATTTCTAGTGTTTAGGATTAGGTAAAATTTCTATTTTGCTTTATTCTAAAAGAGTACCTGAATTTTATGCCTTCTACAGGGAAATGCATTAAAGTGAAGACATTCAGCTTGACAGCACTTAACACCATAGTTATATGAGGTTATATCTCATTCAAACTTCCTGTACCAGGCTTGATCTCATCCATGATGTGCTGGATAATCTACAAGTTCACAGCAGCCCAAAGAAAGACCAGCTCAGCCTTTAACCATGCTTATGGGCACTCTAAGGCATGTGACACTTAAATGACCAACCCTGTATTTGTCCCCAGGTGTTCCTGTTTATGCAGGCACCCTGATCTCCACCTACTGCTCCACCACCCTCTTGCTGGGGAGGGCATGGTGAGGATTGCTCAGGACATGCACAGGCTGCACCGGGGCCAGAGAAATCCTGTGCCTGGTCAGCAGGTGGCGGCAATTAATTGCTGCCAAACCACCTGGGGGGGGCTGGGGGAACTTCAGCCACCTTGAGCCTTCAAGGGTTCCAGACTCATCCTCTGTACAGGGTGGCTGTGTCCCCCAACATTTGGTAACCACCTCACACAAAGAAAATAAAAAGATAATTGCAAGCCACTCAGTTTCTAGTGTACAGCCAACAAGCAAGTCTACCCACGGGATAAGGAAGCTCCACAACCCAACTGGCAGCTCTTCCCTGATGATGTGCAAATACTTTTTTGCTGATGCACTGGTAAAGACCTTACTCCGGCAATCACACCTTCAGGGCAAACCTCCCACAAGGAAACACTATAAATCAGCAAAAAACCCCAGGCAAATAAGAGCATCAGTCTGTTCTGAGAGGTGTGAAAGGTGTGTATTCAGAAGTGAGGAATAATAAGGCAGCAAACTTCTGCTGGAGGAAAAACACCTCAATGTATTCACACCCTGACCTTGCTAACAGATCCATGACAAGGCAGCACATAGACAGACAGGAGATTTTCAAACTGAGAGCAAGGAAAAGCTGAAGCATGTCTCAGTTGAACTGCAAGGGCAGAGACAGGTTAAGGGTCTGTAGTCCTCCATTAATACTGCCTGATTCTTCTACTTCTGAAACACCTGAAGGGAAGCTGGCATTCCTCCATCCCTGCATGAGAAAACAACTGCACCAGCATTCATTGCTAGCAAGAAAACTTGCTTTCTGTCAGAATTGTTCTCCCATGTCAGGTTGGCATTTATGCCTAGGAGTGCCAGAAACTTTCCCATTTCCTCACCTATTTCATTCTTGTAAATTATAGTAGTTTGTCCACTTACTGTAATGGGATGAAAGGTCCACAATGCAGCACTGTGTAATTACCACCAGAAAAGCATTTTTCTTTTCCATGTGAAGAGGTAGAAAGTAGATAATGTTATAAAAGAAATGGCCTGTCTAGGGGAGGGGAAAATACCAACCCAAAACAGCGTAAGTGAGCCCTGTTCATCACATTCTGTATTTCTGAATGCAGACTCTGGAAGCAGGTCATGACAGATGCTACTAAAGCTCTTCTGATCCTATCTCAAGAACTGGGTGACTTCAATCTTACATATAAACATCCACATAACACATATAAACATCCACATAACACTTCACTGATGCCAATCTCCCGCCTGGACTGGAATACACTTCAAGAATAAATGGCAAACTCTTCTTCCAAACAACCCCCAAACCCTCACAATCTGTGGATCGGTACTGAGCAGCTCCTGTGTTTGACACTACAAAGAGGATGAGCTGCAAGTATCCCTCCCGCACCAGAATCCAGTGAAGGAAGGTGACAATTTGGGGGAGCAGGGCCCAAAGTTTGCTATCAACTCCACAGCAAAGGCCCGAGCTAACAAGTACCGGCTGCATTGTGGCATCAAACCACAGGCTGCCTTGAGGAGGAGGAAGTTTGCATCAGTAGGAGTCCCCAGAGGCGCCCTCCGTGACTCATTCTGAATTCCTCTGAGGGCACTGGGCAAGTGTGTGATGAAAGCTGGGGTTTATGGGGGGAGGTGTAAGCCTAGCTGATGTGGTGTAGTAGAGAAATGGGACAGGCTGCAGGGAATTTAACACTACTGGAGCATTGATGATTTAGGAGGACGCAAGTTGGTTGTAGCCCTTGTGCAAGGGCACAGGTGAGGTATCACCATAAATCCTCTGCCCTTTTGCCTGAGAGAGAGAAGGGTGGCCACAGTCCAGCCATGCACTCAGATATCACCCCAGGCTTAAACCCAAAGATTACTAATGGATGAAGAAAAAACTTTATAAATGAACAGTAACTAAGGACGAGATTCCTGCTCTGAGGACAGGAATGTGTGGAAGGATGAGAAAAGGGTACTCAGATACCGCTAGAAGAGAGATTTCAACAGCCGTCTAGAAGGCACTAGGAGGATAGGAAGGATGGATGAGGCTGTAAAGATGCCAGGTAGATGGAGTATTAAACAGAAGGCTGGAAGAGGCTATCTGTATCACTGGGTACAGCCTAACAAAACAGATGACTGTCACAAATGTTTCACCCAAGTGAATCCATAGAACTTCCACCAACACAACCAGGTAGATTCATCCAAAAGCACATCAAAGTGACTGCTCAGAAACATGAAAACAAGTAGAAACAGGAGAAAAATAAAGAGAAAGACAAAGAGTGAATTCATAGGAGAACAGGCATCCCTTTCTCCAGCAGCCCCTGGACAGCTCATTTCAAAACCATACTGCATTTGCAAGTGATTATCGCAGCCAAACACACTCTCTGACATCCTCTGAGGGCTGTTTTCAGAGGAAGACAGGCTTTCCTCTGCTCGCCATGCCCTGATGAAACTGTCTGACACACTTCGCAAGTGCAAATTAAAACCACGTTACTTACCATCAACCCCTTCTTGCAAATTCACATTTGCAAAGAGAGTAAACTAGAAACCCCAGGTGTTGATAACAGAGCCGTTAAGAGAAACTAGAGTAGGAAGGAGTTAAATTCAGAACCTCATCTACCACAAGCATTATAATACAAAATCTTTTTTTTTTTAATGGGAAAGCACAAGAGCCTTGTTTAAACACAGATGGAAGTACCTAAATGCACTGCCTCTTCTACAAATGAATTATCCAGCAGTTCAAGTAAAGGTGAACCAATACTGACAAAATCAAGTAAAACTCAACCAAATGTGGGAGGAAAAAAACCCCAAAACACTTCTAAAAAGTTTACCATGTATAACCATGAAGGGAATAGTTTTGCTTGGCAAATTCTGCTTTGTCTTTTTAAATGCAGAGGAGGTTTATAAATGTTTTTAGGAGTTTCTTGTACCAACCATCATAGGGAAAGTCTATGGCAATGTGATAAAGCCACGCTGTCCAAGGGAACTGCCTGTAAAAGCTGGGTGTCTGGAATCAAAGCTACCCTGGTGGGGAAACCCAAAATCCTGAGTAGCTTTGATTCTTCATCCTGTAGAAATTATTGACATAGATCTTAAATTAAATTCAATATACATCTACAACTAAAAAGTCATTGCATAGGTACTAGGGATGAAAACTGTTGTTCTACAGAAATGAACCTACAATTCTTTACCATTTGTCAGGGTTAAATCTTAAAAAGAGTACAGAATAATCACAGTCTACAGCATGAGCATGATTCTCTATGATCAGCTGGAATCCATTTGAAAAGGACTTCATTCTTTTACTTTGCACATTTGTAGAATTATTTTTATAGAACCCCTTCAGTTACTCAAGTTTCAGAGACTGGATCAAAAATGCCAATACAAAGTTTATCACATTCTATTCAATTCTCCAGACATATTTTCATAAAGGTATAGTTGAATAGCTTTAGCCCTTTAGCTGTCAAATTATTACAAAGATACATTACTCCAGCTCAGTGATTTTCAACCTTTATGCTCGGCAGCCCCCAAATGTTTTTCAGAAGAGACAAGCTCCTTTATGGAGAAAGTTAATCTACTGACAATAAACATGGCTTTTTAAGTTACCTTTCATTGAATTCTTCTTAGTTACCTTAGGAGTGATCCATGGACCC